CTGCCCTTCGTTGACCCCGCTCTCTGGCCAGCTTCTGCTGCTCCACAAGAGCAACCTCACTGCAGGAGATATCCCTCTTAGGGTTGCCACACCAGGAGCAGGCCTCAGGAAACCTGAGAAGTGCTTCAAGAATGACACCCATCCTCGGCTCCTGGAAACTTGGTTGCCCAAGAAAAAAAAATGTATATAAATAGAAATTCTCATAGCAATAGAAATAATATGAACAGTCAATGTGGCAAATTAAATTAGCTGTAAATCAGTTTTCTTAACTTTGAAGTAGGGTTAAATAATCTTAACCTCTCTGACTTGACAAAATAAGATCAGAGAGAAAGGTTGTTTTCAACGTTGAGGGTTAGCCAAAGTAAATCAGCAATAATAATAACACAAATAGTAATAAAGTAAGAAGAGTAATATAACGAAAACTGTTCCGTTGAGCACCTATATATCAGAGGCTTGATGCTAACTATTTTGCTTTACAAAATTTCTAAGATGAATTGCATGTTAGATATTATTATACTCATTTTGGATGAAAGAATACTTAAGTAACTTGGCTGATTATGAAACTATTAGTAGTAAGTGATTGGGCTGTGATTGGAGCCTATTGTACAAAGGCTTCGATTTGCAACTCTAATCTACAGACAGTGGCTTGGAGTGGTCTAGAACTTCAATGCATTGTCCAGGGATGGCCAGAAAGAGTGCTGAGATTGATTAGCAACATGTGCTGTGAGCCTGAGAAGGGACTGGTGGCAGCAGAACACGGCAGCATGTTTCCCTGCTGCGTCACGCTGCCTCTCAAGCTAATGTAACTTAGGGAGGAAGGAAAGTCTCCTCACCTTACAGTATATTTTGGTAAAGTGTCACAGTGTGATGCTGTTGTGATAAAAAAAAAAAAAAAAAACCACCTGGTTTCAAAGTGTCCAGAGGCTGAAATGTGCCAGGGCAGAGCTAGTGGCTCCCTACAAATAACAATCATCCCATTGGCTGGGCAGCCCCCACAGTGCTCCCAGCAGTAGCACTATCACATCTCAACAATGCGCCTTTGCCCACAGACACATGGGCCCAATGGCTGGCACTGACGGTTTCCCTGAAAAGTGCCACTGTCCTCTGTTCTGAGTCAGCCTTATTGTTCAGAGCTTAGAGAATGAGGCACATGTCCAGATATGGGACAATAATATGTGCTATACACTTGCTGTCAGCAATATTGCAGATCACCATGATACCAAAACCTTCAATTCTACAGTGCTCTGAAATGACCTCCCCATACCCTGACCCTCAAACTTGTGAATACCTATTTGCCCGTAATTCAAATACCATTTCCTTTGAAGTCTTCCAGGATTACCACCCACTAGCCAGAGTTAGCTTAATGATTATTTTTTTCAATCCATCATCTAAAACCATGCCAATACATATTTGACCCTTGAAAGAATAAATGAACTTGTGTGAATACCTTAGAAATTGGGAATAAATTACAATATTTTTTTGAGACCCAAAAGGATGAAAGGATCATAACTATTTCAAAGATACATTCTTTGGATCTACTCTGATCATGTGTGAATCTCATAGTCTAATAGCAGGTAGAGTAAAGGAAGGGTTCTGGGCTGTATGATTTCTGGATATAGTGGGCTGGAGGCAGTGGGGAAGGGGATGCTCTATAAAATGTGGTTGGATGGTTCTGAAAGGATCACAGACGTGAGGCTAGTGAGCAAGGAGTGATACAGTTTGAAAGTGCTTCATTTGCATGTTTTCTTGCTTTGGCCTTGTACGAAAGTCATTGACATCTCCCCCACTGGTATATGAAAAGCAGATAACTGATGTAGTACACAGTTAAACAGCAGTATCTATGGCTAGATGCATTTTATAGCCACAGAGGGAACTTCTGCACAAAATGTTAACTGGTTTTCAAAAGTCTTCTGAGCCAGGCGCAGTGGCGAGTGCCTATAGTCCCAACTACTCGGGAGGCTGAGGTGGGAGGATCACTTGAGTCCAGGAGTTCTGGGCTATAGTGTGCTATGCTAATGGGGTGACTGCTCTAAGTTCGGCATCAATATGGTGACCTCCTGGGAGCGGGGGACCACCAGGTTGCCTAAGGAGGGGTGAAACGGCCCACATCAGAAAGAGCAGGTCAAAACTCCCATGCTGATCAGTAGTGGGATCACGCCTGTGAATAGCCACTGCACTCCAGCCTGGCAACATAGCAAGACCCCGTCTCTTAAAAAAAAAAAAAAAAGTCTACCGAAAATCAGATCTTGTGTCTTTTGTCCACTGGAATGCTTTTTCTGTAAGTAATAGAAAGCAAAACTCTGAATGGGTGATCCAATAAGCAAGATTTACTATCTTAAGAACAACAAATCTTGAGATACGGTCACAGAATGATTGGTTAATTCAGCAGCTCTGTCACATCTTAAAAAACTACTTTGCCATCCTCTGTGTTGGCTTTGCTCTCAAGAGGTCTCTCCAGATTGATTGCAAGATGGCTGCTGCGTTTCCAGGCGGTACATGTTTAAGGGCAAGGAAACCTTTCCCAACCTGTCAGAAGCCTCTTGTTACATCATCTTGGCTAAAATTGGGGCACATGTCTGTCACAAACTCACCCTACAAATCACTGGTAAGGAAAATGGGGCTACCAAAACTGGCTTAGGTATTTCAGTTTTGCTCCCAAATTTGAGATAAAGTGACCTTCCTTGGAAGAATCAAAACTTGGAAGCACCTCATCAGAATCAGGGTTCTCTTAATAAGAAGGAAGAAGGTACTTTTCTCTTGCATAGGCAACCAACATTTTCTGCTACATATGCCTCCGTGGAAATGCCTCATTCATAGTTCCATATGACTCTCTATGGTAGCAAATTATGGGTGTTTTAAGCTGCGAGTATGTTAATTTGGTGATGGTGACAACCTTACATATTAAAAATGTAGCCATTGGCCAGGCACAGAAGTGGCTCACGCCTGTAATCCCAGCACTTTGAAGGGGCCGAGGTGGGTGGATCACGAGGTTAGGAGTTTGAGACCAGCCTGGCCAACATAGTGAAACCCCATCTCTACTAAAAAACAAAAAATAGCCAGGCATGGTGTTGCATGCCAGTAGTCCCAGCTACTTGGGAGGTTGAGGCAGGAGAATCACTTGAACCCAGGAAGCAGAGGTTGCAGTGAGCCGAGATCACGCCACCACACTCCAGTCTGGGTGACAGAAGAGTGAGACTCCATCTCAAAAAAAATAAAAAAATAAAAAATAAAAAATAAAATAGCCATCATCTGGTGAGGGAAAGGCAGTATACCCAAAAAATCCAGAAAAATCTTCATTACTTGATGCTGCTAATGAAATCAACCCTTCATCCCAGAATTAGGACAGGCAATGGACTGTAAAGACTTAGGTCATTCCACTGGGAGGAGACAGTTCCTTGAGATAAGAAAGCAAAAAGAAGCCAGTTCTGTAATGAACAGGGGAGAAATGCAAAGGTCCTGAGGCAGAAAATGGAATGTGTCTGAAAGCTGCAGTGACTGGCTCACAGTGAGCAGGAAGAGAATGGCAGGAGGTGAGAATGGAGAATGCAGAGAGAGAGACACTGCAGAGAGACCTTGTCAGTCCTGATAAAGGAGTTGAGGTTTTTATTCTGATACAGAGAAAAATCACTGAGGGATTAAAGAGGATCTATATCTGTAAAATGAGAGTAATCCTCTGCAGGACAATTTCATACACTGGAAAGAGTAACACCATTTGATGGAGTCTTCCCATCTTTAGAGAAGCTACTTACAAAGACCCAACTTAATAGACAATTGCCAGGAATTCAACTTTATTATCTTGATTCTGTACAAAGTTGACCTTTAGTTCTAGTTGGTGGATGTATGCTTTCTGGACAGGTTAGCCTAGGGGAATGATTTATTTTAGAGCAACTCTAGTAAGATATTTTAAATAAAAAACAGTGCATCTGAGGAGAAAAGAGGCTTAATTTCTCAGTTCAACGATTGATCATTCATTGATCTCTCAACTGAGTTCTAGAGTAAGAGGCTGCCCTTTTGGACAGAAAAGGTTAGGCAGGTCCGTCTTCCCCACATGGTCAGCCAGGTCTCCTTTCAGTACGGGGCGTGGGTCACACGCTCTGGGACATACACTTAAGGGGCTGACTTCGTAACAGCAGCTGCTTGTTCCCCTTACCAAGTGCTTTCCCGCTGCAGGTTGTGTTTGTAGAACCTAGTGTGTTCCAGAACTCTCCTGTTTCTTTACCAGTTCCTTGATTTAAAAATTTTGTTAATTTTTTCTTCACTTTTTCAACAATCTTTATCGAACTCCTGTGCCTATGTGGAGATAAACACATCACAGGGCGCTGAAGAAGAGTGTTAGGGCAGTGTTAGCATATGGTGCTAGGGAGCTCAGGGAGTGAGCACTTATCTTGCCTGAATAGGCTTCTTGGAGGAGGTTACAGAGCTAAGGTTTCAAAGGAGTCTCACTTATGCTGACATCTCTGAGAAAGATGGATCCGAGAGTGGAAAGTGATTTGGAGATTGCTGGAGAAATCCAAGGAGAGACCAAAATTCTTGGTCCAGAGGTAGAGGGAAAGTTTGCTTAAAGAGATAAACAGGTTTTCAGGGAATAGAGTCAGAGGAGCTTGGAGGATGATTGGGCATAGGGCAAAACTGAGGTAATTCCAAGAGTTTGTAGCCATACCCAACTGCTCTCTAAGAAATAGTTCCCAAGCTGAAACTCATAGGTCACCAGTGTTCTTCATGAGATCCTACTCTGAATCTATTACCCTTTTTCATGAATCCTTTTTGGAACATTGCTGAAGAGGAAGTGGTATCATGTATGCTTTCAGAATAAAGGGCTTGAGTCATTCTATTAGCTCTTGTTTACAGAACGTATTAAGATGCTTTCAAGGAAATACAACTAATTGTGATTCTTCGATGCCTATTTCCTGCCAGTAGTCAGCCAGTCTTCTAAGTATGGTTTATGTGAGAAGTGAAACTATTTTCCTAAATGCTGTTTCTTTTCTCTTTTCATTATGAAGTATATTCGGTGCTCTTCGAACTGGTGCTTATATGGTGTACATTTTGATGACCAAAGGCCTGAAGCAGTCAGTTTGTGACCAGGGTTTTTACAATGGACCTGTCAGCAAATTCTGGGCTTATGCATTTGTGCTAAGCAAAGCACCCGAACTAGGTGAGTATCTTCTTCCATTTCCTCTCCCTCTCTTTGCAGCAGTATATCCACAATATTTATTTAGTGAACAAAGAAACAGTTGGAAGGTCCTATTTTGTTGGTTGCAGAAAATAACGAATGAATTTGAGTTCTTGACTGACTTCTACTTTCTATTACTCGCTCCCTCTTTCCTTTTAAATAATTTTACATTGTGTATATTAAGAGCAGGTAGTTACATTGAACAGGCTGATTTTAGAGCACTACTAAAAACATATTTCCAGGGGCTTATAAAATGTACACAGCCCCCTTTCTGAGGCCCACTGAGCTGAGCTAATATTAAAATACGGGGAAAAAAAGAGCAACACAGCTGTTTCCAAGTCCCATATCTGAGCATTCTTTTATCTGTAGAGTTAGGATTCAGATAAGAAATTAAGCTTTTCATTTGGGGACCCTCATGTTCTCATTAACAAATGCTAAGGGTTGGTCTCTGGTGGTGTTTGCTTTTAATCATCCAGATGGCCTTAGGGAAGGGGAATGTAATTTACTTTCTAGAAATTAATAGAAAACACAGGCTGTATTTGTAGATTTCTATAATTTTTCCCTCAACTCTTTAGTGGTCTTGAATATAAGTGTGGCATAGGTTAGCAGAAATAGTCAAGTCAAGGAGTTGATGTGGGCACAGTTTTTGAGAAAATGTCTTTATTTACACAGAAAGATATCTACTGGTGGCAATAATGCTGGCAAACTGGCACAGATTCTTAGGGCCACCTGGTCACCCTCTAGGGTTCTGGATTTTTTTTTTTTTACCTGGAATTAAGAATTGTATATATTTAGTTCAAAAGATATCAATTGTGATTTTTGCCATTGTTTTCAATGGCAAAACAGCAGTTACTTTTGCACCAACCTAAAATGTATTGTCCCCTCTCCTGGAGAAATCCAAGGAGAGGCCAAAAAGCCAGGACTGGTAAGGCAAGTCCAGAGGTAGAGGAAAAGTTTGCTTAAAGAGATAAACAGGTTTTCAGGGAATGGAGCCAGGGGAACTTGGAGGATGATTAGGCATAGGGCAAAACGGAGGTAATTCCAAGAGTCTGCAGCCACATCCATCTGCTCCTAAAAAGGGAGTTTGTGGTTGCACTTTCCTTACAAGCCACCTGCAACATAAGCTATGAGCAGTCTTCTTTCTGTAAGGCACCCCTTGTTCATGCCCTGTGTCTATTCAGATAGAATAGGAAACATCTGATGTGTGCAGAGTCAGCAAGCCAGTCATCATCTACTGGATGCTAGAAACCTGCTTTCTACGAGTAGATGACAATTGGTTTGAGCTTTTGACTTCCCAGGTCAAAAACAAGGGAAGAGCAACAGAAGAAAACTTTTCCTGAAAACCTTTCCTACGAGGGGCAGAGGTACAAAGATAGTCCAAAGTAACTGGATAGCTACTGTAGGCATGTGCCCACCCGCACACACCCCCACATACGCCTATACACACGAAGCCTATGAAGACAGTCTCAGGGTGAAATGCATTAGTGTGGATTCATTCAGTCATTCATTCAATGCATTTATGTTAAGCACCAGCTGAAATAGAATGGCAACTTTATCTAAAAAAAGATTTTACAATATGACTATGAACAAGACCCTAGGAGGTATTAATACCACTAAGTATAAAGTCATAGGCTAGAGAAGTGGTTTTCACCCTGGATCTACAGACAAAGCCTGAAAAATCTGAAGAGGTATTTCTGGGAATTTAAAAATTATATAAGAGTATTTTAATTTGCTTTGATTCATAGAGTTTTTGAATCAGAGCACTTGTTCTCAAACTGGGGTTGACCTGAGAGTATGAGTTTGTATTCTTTACTCTTGGGAGTTTTTTGCGGGGGGAAGGAGGGCATAGTCTTACTCTATTACACAGGCTGGAGTGCAGTGGTGCAATCTCAGCTCACTGCAACCTCCGCCTCCGGGGTTCAAATGATTCTCATGCCTCAGCCTTCCAAGTAGCTAGGATTAGAGGTGTGTGCCACCATGCCCAGTGAATTTCTGTATTTTCAGTAGAGATGGGGTTTCACCATATTGGCCAGGCTGGACTCAAACTCCTGACCTCAGGTAATCAGCCTGCCTCTGCCTCCCAAAGTGCAGGGATTACAGATGTGAGTCACTACACCCAGCCATGACTTTTTTTCTTTAAAATGAATTAACACGTTATTAAAGTTGGAATTATTTAAGTTGAGAAATATATCTCTCTGACTTTCATGCTATTTAATAACCTTATTAATCCCCTATCTTTTTTGACAAAGGCCTGACTACAGCTACATAAATGCAGTGAATGCATGAAACGTGGTTTCCCCTAAATGCTTTCCCTGAACGCTTTCCCAATCTCTACTTCTACTATTTCCCAAAGAAAATTTTTTTCATAAGAAATGGTGTGATGCTTCTGACCTTTAAGCCTCAGATCACAAAGCAGCAGCCTTAGTGTTTTCTTCTAGAAATGCCTTTTCCCTGCAGGGACTACTTGTCTGTATTGTGTCCTGAGTTATATGCAGTTGTATTTGAGGTGCTTGAGAACAAACACAGTCCTTTCGCAGTCCTTTCTACCTTCTGGAGGAATAATTTATTGAAATGCCACCTCAAGCTATCTGTAGTGATGAATTTCCTTTAAAGGCATAATTAGATCTATGTTCTCTGTCCTCCTGACTTTTAGGATTCCTAGAGAAGACCTCCTAGTGCAGCACCCAGAGGTGTTCATGTTTTCACCCTACATCTTGGTTGTGTTGATCCTGATGATGTTAATATCACTGGTCTTAATTTAATCCAGGCCCAAATGTCCACGCCCCTCGGCCTCATAGTGGACATTGTAATTGAACACAGCATTCTCTCTTGAGCCCCAAAGGAGCCATAGTCCAGTCTCCTACTTGCAGTCCACAGGACCGATGTGCCACTGGCATGATAGTCCCTTTCCCTGGAAAGGTCTCATTCATCACAATAATTTGTAGCAGTCCTTTGTGGATTATCCAATAATTGATCCCTTTGCAGTTAAAATATGAGATTGAAGTGTTGGGGAAAATAATATTCTAATCTTGACACAGTTATTTAATGAGGCTAATTAGTAACACAGATTCTTCATACTTCAAACCCTTTATACAGATAATTTTCATGTTCTGAGTACCTTTTTTTTTTTTTTAACATTTGAAAATACAGAATATTAGGCGGGAAGCGGTGGCTCATGCCTGTCATCCCAGCACTTAGGGAGGCTGAGGCAGGCGGATCTCCTGAGGTCAGGAGTTTGAGACTAACCTGACCAACATGGAGAAACCCCATCTCTACTAAAAATACAAAATCAGCTGGGCATGGTGGCACATGCCTGCAATCCCAGCTACTTGGGAGGCTGAGGCAGGAGAATCGCCTGAACCCAGAAGGCGGAGGTTGCGGCGAGCCAAGATCGCACCACTGCACTCCAGCCTAGGCAACAAGAGTGAAAGTCCATCTCAAAAAATAAAAAATAAATTAAATATATATAATATTGTTCTTCAAATATTCTGGAGCTCCTTTGACAATGGCAATTCAGAGGGAAACTGTTGACTCAAAACAGATCCAAAATCAGTGTGAGTATCTCCAAGACAAGCAGCCCCAGGTCTTTATATAGTGAACATGTTTGCCTGGATGACTTTTTTATTCCCACACATTTTAGAGGTTAAATTTCTTTCCAGTTTTTGCAGTTAGAAAATCTTGTCACTCCAATTTAATTAAGAGATTCACCCATTTGGATTAGTTAGAACTTTTCTTATTTTTGGGTCCCAAGTTCCGCCTTTCAATATTTTAAGATTCTGGACTCTCTTATAAGCACCAAAAGGAAAAGATCTTGTGAGAATGAAAAAAAAAAAAAGTTCTTTCATGTATAATACTGAAACTGTATCCCCCATCCCCCCAGCCCCCACAAACTCACACTTTTGTTTTAAGTTGCAGTAAAATATACATATTTTTCAGATTGTTGAGCAATCATCACTCTATCAACTTCCAGAACTTTTGCATCTTCCCCAACTGAAATGCTACTCATTCCACACTAAACTCTTAATAAACAGCAAAGAAGAGCTTTCTGTTTCAGCAGAAAGCCGTGAGCTCATTTCAGTGAATTATGGGGTTGCAGTCCACTACAACAAGTGAGAGGAAGGGAGCCACTAACCTGCTTTGTGTGCCAAATCTTTGAGCACCTACTATTTGGATTATATTAAAACCTGCTGAGATTTGGTTTTGTTAAAACTTGGAAACGTCTGCTCTGAGCCCAGGTCCTTGCTCAGTTGAGCATGTCATTGTTTTTGAAGCTCTGACTCAGCAGCCCTCTAGCTAGCTCTGGGAAGAGGGACTCAGCTGTGTGTGACAAACCACACACACAGAGTCGCCTCTCTGTGTCTCTTGGTGGCTGAGAGCACCCTGGGGATTTCCAAATGCTGGTTGCTTTTCCTATAGCTGCAAAGGTATAGCTCTCACACTTGGGTATGAGAAACATCATGCCCTGCCTGAAAGCTGCCTCTTGAATGAAAATAGTTGGACCAAAGGTTAGAGAGATCATGATAAGAGAACGTGAGCCAGGAAGTAGCTAAAATGACATGACTGAAACATTCAAGAGTCTAAAGTCCCATTGCGTGTACTTGGCCAAAATCCTTCCTGTTACGCCAACAGGACATTTGAACAAGAAAGGTTGATCGACCAACTCAAATACACAGCCCCTCTGATAGTTTACATTTCTGGGTCACTCTATAGCCTCTGGAAAGCCCCAAATTATCATAACTTGGCATGACTCTGGCTCATGACAAATCAAATGTGACATTATGTGGTTTCCCCAGAGGAAAAATAATTTGTACCTGCCAGAGTGGCATAACTGATACATCTCAGCTGCCATATCCAAGACCGTGAGAGGTCTTGGTTAGCCCTTCCAGAACCCCACTAGTTTTCCCCTGCCTGAGGGAAACTACAAGTCTTTGGGTCAGCAGTCTTGGGGACAGTAACCCTGATAGGGTGTTGAATGGTGCTATGGATCAGCTCCAGAGCCATTGCTGGGAGATGCTCAATTTCATTCCTGCACCTACAATCCTGCATATACATTCTGGAAAAAACTCCTAAGCAAATTCAAATTAATTTTGTCATCAAGATTTTGGGACATGTTTTCCCCCCTCCTGTTCCCCACCCTTCTCCCCTCCCTACCCCTAAAATAACTAGAAACACCCTGTGTGTCTCAGATAAACATGAGATACACCCTCACCTCCAGACAGAAGAAACAAAACCATTCTCAACTCCAGAATTGTACGTTTCACTTTCCATCCTACGCAAGCCCATTCTAATATAGTTTTTCTTAATCATTCTTTAGACAATAAAATTTTAATATAAAAGTGATGATAAAGTTAAATTAAGCTAAAGAATTAGGATGAAATGCATATCACTTTATGACAAATTTATTATAATGCGTTTGGAATTGTATGGGGGCTTATATTAGTGAATGGTAAGAGACTCATAAAAACATCTATTCAATTATGAATGACTAAATTTGTTTTAAACATACCGTTTCTTGGATGTCTACCTTCTTTCCACTATGAACAATGGTAGCTGGAATTGATTGTGTCTGTGTTATTGTCCACAGAGGGATTGGAGGCACAGAATAGTGCTTCTACAGAAATGGTAGATCTTTTACAGGCACACAAAAATAGTACAGTTTAACACTGAGAAGCAGACCCAGAGCCTCCTGACACGTTTTGTCCCTTAAGTATACTTATGAGAGTTACCGTCAGCATCCATCATTATTAGTCTGTCTGACATTTATAGACACCGTAAAAATCAGGCATCTTTCAAGAGAGAAGATGACTTCAACAAAAATTTGATAATAGGCTCAGAAATACAGCAACTGACAATTTTCCTTTTTTTTTTGAGATGGAGTCTCGCTAGAGTGCAATGGCATGATCTTGGCTCAGTGCAACCTCTGCCTCCTAGGTACAAATGATTCTCCTGTCTCAGCCTCCTGAGTAGCTAGGATTACAGGTGCCTGCCACCATGTCCAGCTAATTTTTGCATTTTTAGTAGAGATGCGTTTTCACCATGTTGGCCAGGCTGGTCTCAAACTCCTGACCTCAGGAGTTTGCCCACCTTGGCCTCCAAAACTGCTGTGATTACAGGCATGAGCCACCACACCTGGCCGACTTTCCTTTTCTATTGTAAAGAAGTATGAAATAATAGGATTTAATAGTTTAATTGGAAAATAAACCAATAGCTCTCCTAATGAATGGAATGGGGCACCATCTTATCATTCCATCCACTGCCATCAGAACCTTAGAAGTCTTTCTCCATAGCCCAGCATTCTTTGACCTTGCCCAGTGCAAGCATTTTAGGTCATCCGTGAAGTACATGAGAGATAAGGTAGGAATAAGTACTAGTTTTTGTACTGAATTAAATTTTAGAAGAAGAGAAAAAACCAGGGCCAGACATGATGGCTCATGCTTGTAGTCCTAGCATGTTAGGAGGCCGAGGCTGGCGGATAGATTGAGCTTAGGAGTTCAAGACCTCCTCTCTACAAAAAAAAAAGTTTTTTTTAAAATCAGCTAGTTTTGGTGGCACGTGCCTGCAGTCCCAGCTACTCCTGAGGTTGCAGTGAGACATCGGATTGCTTGAGCCCAGGAGATCAAGTCTTTAGTGAGCTGTGATCGCGCCTAGGTGACAGGGCAAGACCTTATCTCAAAAACAATTAAAAAATTAAAAGAACCTTCTAGCTCTTGTTTTTACATTAGGAAAAGCCAGGTTTTAGTTCTCCAAAGATCATGAAGGATGTTGGTTTTTCCCATGTCTCCTAACCATAGACATAGGAAACAGAAAGAAACATTCACGTGTATTAGCCTGTTTCTGTCCCACATCCTCGTGTATCTTCCCTTATTCTCTTACTCGTTAATCGAATTGGGTGTATTTTTCACTGGACTTCTTCTCCACCCAATTTTACACAAATGTTCTGCGGTCTATTTTCAGAGCCCTGAGACTTTTCAGTGAAGCATTGCAGATACATAGCATCTACCCCCCTCAGCATCATTCTGGCTTTCATAACATAAATTCCGAGCCTCAGAAGCTGTGGTCTTTTCCTTCGAAGGGATACTGTGAGACAAAACTCAGATCCTGGAAAGCTTTCAAGTTAATTCTATAAAATGAAAACTGTTATTTTTAATTTCTCCTCACTTGATTCACTGGTATAAAATATTCCTATTACCCTTGTCAGCAAATGTGTCTAGAAGGACTTTTGTTCCCCTTTTTCTGTCTGCCTTTTGTTTAGATTTCACGTTTCTCATTGCTACTTGCCAAGGCTTTGTAATTTATAGGAGCTCACAAAGACATGTGTTTGAGGTGTACCTTTTGTCATGTACCAAAGAAAAATTATGCTTTTACTACTCTAAGACCTAAAGAGGTCTTAGAGCATGTTGCTGGAAGCTTCTTTTGATTGATAAATGATCTAAAATTCCAGTCTGGCTTTTTTTGATTGATAAATGATCTAAGACAAGTCACCTGTCCCCTCCAGGTGAGATTTCCTAAAATGTATGGTTGAGTTAGGAGTTGGCAACAAAGTTGGTAGTGTCCCTTCCAAATCAATGATAAATACGATTTTGTGGGAAATACCTTGAAAGAGACATTTGCTGCTTGCCTATTGTGTCTGAAGAGGGCCATGCTGATGATCTGACTTCATGCTCAGGCAATTGCATACTGCTCTTTTCAATTGTTACCATCTCTATAGATGAGGAAACTGGAATTAGTGAGGATAACTTGCCCCAGGTCACAGAGCTCGTAAGTACCAGTCCAGCGTTCTAATCCAGTCCATCTAACCCTCCAGTCCCAGCTCAAGATGTCTCCCTCTTACAAAACTGTCAGTCATTGTCATTGGGGGTCAGGGACCTCACGTACCTTCTTCCTTCTGTCTTTCAGGAGATACAATATTCATTATTCTGAGGAAGCAGAAGCTGATCTTCCTGCACTGGTACCACCACATCACTGTGCTCCTGTACTCTTGGTACTCCTACAAAGACATGGTTGCCGGGGGAGGTTGGTTCATGACTATGAACTACGGCGTGCACGCCATGATGTACTCTTACTATGCCTTGCGGGCGGCAGGTTTCCGAGTCTCCCGGAAGTTTGCCATGTTCATCACCTTGTCCCAGATCACTCAGATGCTGATGGGCTGTGTCATTAACTACCTGGTCTTCTACTGGATGCAGCATGACCAGTGTTACTCTCACTTTCAGAACATCTTCTGGTCCTCACTCATGTACCTCAGCTACCTTGTGCTCTTCTGCCATTTCTTCTTTGAGGCCTACATCGGCAAAATGAGGAAAACAACGAAGGCTGAATAGTGTTGGAACTGAGGAGGAAGCCATAGCTCAGGGTCATCAAGAAAAATAACAGACAAAAGAAAATGGCACAAGGAATCACACGTGGTGCAGCTAACACAAAACAAAACATGAGCAAACACAAAACCCAAGGCAGCTTAGGGATAATTAGGTTGATTTAACCCAGTAAGTTTATGATCCTTTTAGGGTGAGGACTCACTGAGTGCACCTCCATCTCCAAGCACTGCTGCTGGAAGACCCCATTCCCTCTTTATCTGTCAACTCTAGGACAAGGGAGAACAAAAGCAAGCCAGAGACAGAGGAGACTAATTGAAGGCAAACAAAGGCTGTCAACACATAGGAAAAAATGCATTTACCAAGTGTCACATTTCTCTAAGATGAAAGATTTTTACTCTAGAAACTGTGCGAGCACGCACACACAATCCTTTCTAACCTTTATGGACACTAAACTGGAGCCAATAGAAAAGCTAAAAATGAAAGAAACACAGGGTGTATATCTAGAACAATAACGCTTTTGCAGAAACTAAAGCCTTTTTAAGAAATGTTAGCTGCTGTAGCCCCCATGAGAAAAGATGTCTTAATCGTCCTTGTGAAAACAGATGTAAACAACTAGGTTTCAACTAACTTCACCTTCACTTCGTAGCCTCAGGCTAGTGAGTTTGCCAAAACCAAAGGGGGCGAATACTTTCCCAAGGCTGTTCCTAGGAGGATGGAAACAGGACAGCCCAGGTTCCGCAGGGGCAGCTCCATCCCAGAGCATTTCTGATAGTGGAACTGTAATTTCTACTCTTAAATGAGGTATGAAGCATTATCCTTTTGTTCAGTTGCCCCGAGCTTTTGAACAGAGGAGTAAATACGGAATCGAAAAGATAAACACTCAACCAAACAATGTAAAAACGGGTTCTGTCGTGTCTGTACAAAGACCCAGCCCAGGACCACTGTGAGCTGGAAAAGGGAGAAAGACAGTAGGAAAAGAGGTGAGCTGAGGATCAATTCCATAGACAGACGGCGTGTATGCCCCTTCCTATTTCACTTCACACACACTCATAACTTTCCAAATGATACCCCGTAGCACAGCACATATTTCCTATATTTTTGTGAATTCCAAAAGGAACCCGCAGGGCTCTTCCTGGGATTAGATGAACACAGTTTCTGCATCATCTGCATTTGCTCCCCAAGCAATGTAGAGGTGTTCAAAGTGCCCTCTGCTGGCTGACTGGCGATACTACAACAAACTTCATGGCAAATTTGGCTGAAAGTCGACAACAAAGGGCCCCAACACACATCCCTCAAATGTTAAGTGATATGAAATACTTGTCATATCTTTGGCCAAATCAGAAGATAGTTATCCTGCTTCAAGTCAGCTTCAGAAATTGTTTAAAGGGGACCTTCGCTCTGGAACTCAAAATCAATTTATTAAGAGCCATATTCTTAAAAAAAAAAAAAAGCTGGATAATATTATCTGTAATATTTCAGTCCTTTACAAGCCAAATACATGTGTCGATGTTCCTAGTATTTCAAAGAAGCAATTATGTAAAGTTGTTCAATGTGACATAATAGTATTATAATTGGTTAAGTAGCTTAATGATTAGGCAAACTAGATGAAAAGATTAGGGGCTTCTGCATTGCATAGATTACACACACATAGCCACGCATACACGCACACAGATGTGGGGTACACTGAACTTCAAAGCCCAAATGAATAGAAACACGTTTTCTGGCTAGCAGAAAAAAAACAAAACAAAACAAAACTGTTGTTTCTCTTTCTTCCTTTGAAAGTGTACAGTAAAAGGGATTTTTTCAAATTATTTTTATATTATTTTAGCTTTAATTGTGCTGTTGTTCATGAAACAGAGCTGCTCTGCATTTCTGTCAGAGATGGCAAGGGCTTTTTCAGCATCTCGTTTATGTGTGGAATTTAAAAAGAATAAAGTTTTATTCCATTCTGTGTGAATGGTTTGAGCAGTGAACAAAGAATCCATGGAAAGCAAGTCATGATTGGAAGAACAAGGGGGAGGGGGAAGTGCAGGGGAGGAAAGCTGTTACATCTGTGTTGAATTATCGTGAGCAGTCTATAATGTCTTGGTGTCGGTTCATAGATGAAACACAACTGATGGAAGAATGTATTGTAAATTATGCAAAATCTGACGTGAGCTGAAAAGACAGGTCCTGTTATAAAAACTAATAGATTCTTAGGGTGTAAATGTTATTTTGAACTTCACAAATACATGATACTGTGCAATAAGGCTTTTTTCCTTATAATAGAAAATGAGGATAATTAAAATGAGGAGAAGGCCACATAACAGTTGACTTGAGTTTAATTGAAGGACCCATCGGAGAGTCATCTGGTCGACTTAATTATTTAATTCAATGATTTATTGCAGATCTTTTCATGCAGGTTAGAATAAGGAAGTGAGCATAAACCTTAAAAAGACTCTAAATGATGCTTCCAAAGCACTTTCATCTTGGTATTAGGTTCATGTTTGTCTTTACTTGTAAAATAATTTGGAATTTCTGTTTACAGGGTGAGTGTCTGATATTTTTTAAATTAGCTAAATGTATCTAAAGGCATTTCCAATGTTCATCATGGGAGGAAAAAAGCCACATTTTTTTAAGAAAACAAAATTTTGGTAGTGTAGGTTCAATACACTGTTTCTAACATCTCAGCTTAGCTGCTTTAATCATATCAAGATATGAGGCTGGATCACTGGCCCATGACAAATCTGAAAGCTACCAGAGAATTGACTGCCACATAGATAATCCTGCTGTCAGTTAACATTCCAGAAAAACTTGGGCAGGCAAGTTTTTATAGCTGCCCCACTATGCTGCAATAGAGTATCTTTCTATTGAAGATTTTCCACTGCATTCCAATCCTACTATGGTGAAAACATTGCTCTTGGGCTAAAAAAAAATCCTTTATTTCATACACACACAATTTCACACACTAGGTCTGAGCATCAACCCAAGTGCATGAGTTTGCATTGAAATTCTAGTGAGAAGTGCTCTATTCATAAAGCAGGGGGTTTATGTGGACCTTCTAGTGTTACTTATGGGAAAAGAGTAACTACCGTATTACATCTAATTCAATGCCAAAGTACCAAATTAAAACCATGGATTGAGGTTGTTATTCAAAGTCACTTACTCCCATCCTTCTAATTATGCTCCACTACAAAAGTAAGGGGAGGAGAGGGAATACTTTACATTTACGTAGCTAGAGGGAAAAGAAAGGGTTGATTATATCCCCCTTGCTTCTCCCTCTCTCCTTACTTGCCTGAAGAAACTGATTAGAACAGAGACTAATATACCTGGACTGAGTTAGAAACTTCATATGAGTGGGTTTTCTGGGATTGACTGGAAAGACAGTGAGAACCTGGGAGAACAGGAAAAGACCCACAGAATGTCTTTTTTGAAATGGAGTCTCGCTGTTGTTGCCTGGGCTGGAGTGCAGCGGTACGACCTCGGCAACCTGCAACCCCCGCCTCACAGATTCCAGCAATTCTCCTGCCTCAACCTCCCGGGTAGTTGAGATGAGAGGCACCCACCATCACTCCTGGCTAATTTTTGTTTTTTTAGTAGAGACGGGGTTTCACCATGTTCGCCAGGCTGGTCTCCAACTCCTGACCTCAGGTGATCCACCACCCCCTCCCGCCCTGTCTCCCGAAGTGCTGGGATTTCAGGCATAAGCCACTGTGCCCGGCCCAGATGTCTTTTTTTTTTTTAATTAGATGTAGCATCTTCATAAGGTGAAACCTGTCACATAGAAGTAACAAAGCTCCTGGAGTAGAGTGACGCTAGCATAGAATGTTCCAGACATCGGCCGTAGTCCCAGACTCTGAATTACCTGGGACGGACAAAATGCTCAGATTACTATTTTTTCTGTATTCTGATAGTACAGCTTCTACTCAGAGACCATGTGTGTGTCACATAACCCAGCATCTAGAGCACATTCTGAGAGCTTTTTTTTCTCATTTGCTTAAAAATTCTTTAACAGAGCAACTGGATTGGCCAAGGGGTGACTCAAGAGGGCTGTGAGGAGAGTGTAGAACAAATGGGTTTTGCCTCTCAGAGTTCAAAGCTTTAAGCTGTATAAGCATGGTCCATGCCCACCTCTTTTAGACACTTCCTTAAAAGTTTCCGTCGTGAAAATCATATCATGTCAGAATCTTATGAGAGCCCAGACCTTCCCCGTAGTCAAAGGTAGTGTCTTTCTCCAGTCTTTGTTTCCGATAATAAATATCTCGCTCTCAGTTTAGAACAATCGTAGAGCTGGTGTCCGTGCTGTGAGTCATTGTGTCCCACAGCTTTTGAAACATCGTTCTCTTTTCTATACCACACCTGTTTCTTTGTGCCTCAGACTCATTGCCATCAGGAAGAGACTTTGCCAAGAATCCACCACCACATTTGGTCAGTGGTGTATACACATTAAAGTGAGAGCTGATGAAATCGTGATACCCTATTTTGTTCCGACAATCAGTATGAAGGGGTAGGTCCCAGTCTGCCGATGAGCCAACAGCCTCTGTACGCTGGTATCCGAGACTCACAGGAAACAAGCGTCAGTGCAGCCACGGCATTTTCTTGAATGCTGTTGTGAAAGACTCCAGTTATAAACATCTGCGAGCCATCCGGCACAACGCAGAGCTGAAGAGGCCAGTCCAGTGCACCTGCACAGAGCACTGAAGAACATGCATAAGCCTCTTGAATCATCAAGTTATTTTCCTCATCCTCAGAGACTTTGACAATTCAGGGCTCACAGATGGCAGGGGGGAATTCTCAGGCTTCCCTTCCTCCTGAATGACACTTTTTATAAGGAAGTGGTGTGGAAGTTGTTCTTGGAGTTAGATGGACAGTGGGAGCGCATTAGTGAGTGGGGCTTGGAGAAGTCCAAAAATTGGCACGTTGGTTTTAGGCTGGGCAGGCAAAAGTCTCACAGTAAGATATATTTAACTAGATGTCTAAGCCCACAACTGCATTGTAGTAATCTCTTCTGAAGTAACTGGTTAAATTAAGAACTGGTTTCATAAGTTGGGGCCAAGTCACATTTACAACACATTTGGATCTGCAGTGAAGGGTTCTGACTCACGCTGGTATTTAAGTGCTGTTACTTTCCCAATGCTTTAGTACCACTTGAGACTGTATTTCAATGGACAGAAACCAAGAAGGCCACAGCAGTAGCCTAATAGTCCTCCCTGGTCATACTCGTTTCAAACAGGTCTGCCTGTCTGGGCATGCTCAGGCAGGAGGTTGCTTGCTGCTATCTTGAAAACCACTGGAACATTCAGCTTCTTGGGGACCTCAGAGCCTGTGTTCACATGGAAGCCCACCCATATAAGCTTCACAGAGCAAATCACAGCAATGTTGAAGTTGTTATTTTCAAGTGCTTATTTCACAACATTAAAAAAAAATATTTTTTCCTGGTGTATTAAAATTAAAAATAAAATCATAACTTTTGATTTAAAATCAAACTGTGTTTCTGTTTTCTTTTCTTTCTTACTCTGGGCGGTTTAAATGGAGCATCTAAGACACTGAGGGTTCCTCAAATATTCAGAAATGCCATTTCCACATTTGCACCCACAGGTTCAGGGAACGGAGACGGGTCACTGAAACGCCTTGCTTTCTAGTAGAGCCCAAAAATGTTGTAGCCCTCAACTACCACTGACTAAGCGTCCATAAGATGTTCAGCCCTTCAGTAATCCCTTTCGTGGATGTAACATTTTACAATGCACATGTTTTCCGCATCTGTTGATTCACCAGAGCAGTTTAATGGGGCAGACAGACTAAATTGAATCTCCGTTTTAACAGATGGGGAAAATGTGCTCGTTAGATCCACTGCTACAGAAGTGGAAGGAATGAAATTTGGACATCATCATCTCAGCTTGGATTTTGCTGCAGCCATTCAATCTTTTGAAAAGAATGAGAGTGTAAATGAATAAAATTCTAATACGTGACACTGATCTTTGCCACGTCATTGGACAGAGTGTCTCAGGGCAAAATATATGTTGGGAAAATAGTAAGTATACCTTCTTAGTTAGTGGTGCAGTACGTTACTCATGCCTGCCAGCTACGAGCAAGAGGAGTCTAAGTCATCCACTCCCCGGTCCCTAAATAATTTAGCCTTCAAACTCCAGTGTTCTGGTAAGTTCCACTGCATACTTTACAGGTGAAATAGTCTGTCCCTCTTCATGACTTTTTGGAGCATCGTTACGGTGTGTACAAAAGCAATGCCCCTTCAGCGTTTATATTTAAAACCCAAGAAGCCATTATTTGTGCAAGTTTCTCATGGCCAAATTATTGCCTCTTCACATCTCAGAATTATTCAGATGGAACTTTGCAATCCATTTAATGTGTTTTCTTAACTTAGGGTTAAATGGGGAAAAATCCATCCTGCATACAATGTGTTCTTATTAACTTCAAAAAGGGACAGGGACGGGGAGGAAAATCAGACTTCAGGGAGCATTTCTGTTTCGTTAGCAAAGTCCCAGAAACCTAATGCAGATGACAGTGCCATTATGTACCTTCTGTTACGTGTCTCAAAAAGTGGAAGCTTCAGAAATTAATACAGCAAGCATTAAAACATGCAAGCATATCAGTCTAGCCCACAAAAATGCTGTAATTACGGAACTCCAAGACCAAGATATATTATTCTTCCTGTGAAAGAACAAAAATAGGCTCATAATACCAATATTTCGGTAATGTAACCACTCTTGGCTGCTTTTTTTTTTTTTTTTTTTTTTTTTGGAATAAGTGAATTTAGGTGGGTGTCCTAAATCAATGGGCAAGACAGTTAAAATAACTGAAACAGCTCCCCATGGGTTGGTCTGTAGCTGATTAGTCTCCAGCCTTGGTAGGTTTGGGACAGGGTCTCTGTTATTACCAGACACTGTTCCCCGAGACAAAACTGGGAGACCTGAGTGCAGAGATTTCCACAGTGTGTGTGTGTGTGTGTGTGTGTGTGTGTGTGTGAATGTGTAGGAGGAGAGGCTGCATTGTGTACCCCTTATGTCACAAAACTAGACACACACATGCACAGGATGATACATGTGTCCTCTGCCTGTAGTGCCATCTCACTAAGCAAAGGATTCCAGGCAAGTAGAGAAGCTCTAGGTCAGGAAAGATTGGACGCCACTGATCTAAAAGACATTGTTATCTAATTAATTATCTCACTTCTATCCCTTTTAGATTTTTATAGGCATTTTGTTTGTTTATTATTTCTTTTCAGAGAAACGGTCTTGCTCTGTCACCTAGGCTGGAGGGCAGTAGTGCGATAAGGATTCCCTGCAACCTCAACCTCTTGAGTAGCTGGGACCACAGGCACATGCCACCATGCCTAGCTAATTTTTTATTATCTGTAGAGACGGGGTCTCCTTATATTGCTGAGGCTGGTCTCAAACTCCTAGGCTCAAGCTCTCCTCCTGTCTTGGCCTCCCAAAATGTTGGAATTACAGGCAGCAGCCACCATGCCTAACCTATATCCATTTTATGTTTAACTGCTTTTCATTGTTTTCATCTATGTAATAGTTGAAGGAGGGAACCTTTGGGATTTGTGCCTTATTATGCATCACAGAGTACGTATTTATATGGGGAAAATCATACACATACACACTATGAAAGCACTGTGGCAGCCTAAGGGTTAAGCACATACCACAGTCACCTTCTGACACGCCACCCGTCTCACCACTGGATTCTGTCATCTTCGGTATTTTCAGCCCCCCTTCCCAGGGTGAAAATCCTGTGCTACACTCTGGGGTTTCACAGACAGCTTCCTTTTCTATTGACTACACTATTTCCTTTCATACAGAGGAAAAACCTATCCCCCTGGGTGTTTCTCTGCTATGTTCTACTTGTGAAAACTTCAGTGGGCATTTGTTAAGGCTGTTAATATCTCCCTATGAAGAAAAGAGAAACAGAATTCACTATTCCTGCATCCCCTACTGCTCATAGTTATATATGAGTTACTATAAAACACCAGAGCTCTTTTGCAAAGCAAGCACTTTGTCTGAATTAGAAACCATTCTAATTTCCACTTAGTTTTAGAATAATGAAACCAATAGAACATAAATAAACCTACTAAGCTTTCAAATTGACTTAGGCTGCCATGCCAACTCCTTTGTTCATTTACATCTAACCTAAGTTTCCCTAGAACCCATCAGCCTACAGAGGCAATTTAATTTTTCTTTCTTTCTTTTTTTTTTTTTTTTTTTTCTGGTTTGCAGCTCCCACTGATGTAGGACCTCTGATTTCCTGCCAAGTTCCTTGCATCTAATTCTGGAAATTGCCAGAGTGAGTCTCACAGCCTCTACCAGGCATTTCTGTTATGTGGTTACCCGCACGCCGCCTCCCACCCTGCCACCCATGCCCTGTTTCACCTCTCCACTGAGCCCTGAAATCGCTGTGGGCAGCCAGGTTCAGCAAGTCTCAGCAGGCATCACCCCCTTCTTTCAGAAACGCAATGGTTCCTTTGCTCTGCAGTGGGGCAAGATGCCCCTTTCCCCTAATTAGATGTTCTGTGGGAGAAACCTGGCCCCCTCTACTCAAGAGCCAGACATGCCTCCGGAGGGGCAGAGGATAGATTGGGGGAACGGCGCAGCAGAATCTTTGCTCCCTCCCCTGCACGATGGGTCAAAGCTTTCCTTCGGTTGAGCTCATCAGACCTATTACCTTCTTCCCCGTGGATGAATGTACCTTCTGGAGCATCCTCAACCCAACTGTAAATAGACCTGTGGCCAACACGCCAACTTCCCGGACCTGCTCAGGCATATCTGAGCCCAGCAGAAGTGAGTTCCTTTTTTTAGAAGCCCTAGATCTCCCTAAGGCTCCCTATTACCTGCCCCACCACAGGTGTGGACGTCCCTGAGACTCACTTAAACTCAACCCAGGCACCATGCTACGTATGTAAAGAAATAACGAAGTACAAATAACACAAGTCCTTGCCTTTCCAGTGAAAATCAGCTTTTTGAATTGAAAGATCAAACTGCAGAAAATCACAATAATTACATGGATTTTCTCCACTTCCGATTCATGGCTATCTCACGCGCCCATTTCCTCTTCCTGAGAAGTGCAGGCTGGGGCTCCCTCTTACATTATCAGAGCACGGTGCTTTCCTACTTCATGAGACTTGTGACCCCGGTAAGTGCATACTCAGTCATTTGTGTGCTGTCTATTCAACATCTGTCTTCTTCAACAGATCACAAGCTCTGTAGGACAGGAATCAAGCTTGCCTGTTTACGCCTGAAATTCCAGGCCCCTGTAGAAGACTAAGTATTTGTTGAAAGAATAAATACATTTTCGTGTATGGTTGTAGGTATATGATAGATCTCTATCTTCTCCACATGTCTGTGAGTTTAGTGTGTATGTCTGCATGAGTGTCTATGTGTGTGCTGATAAAGTCCTTGTGCTTTTTTCCTTGTATACTTTTAAACAGGCAGAACTGTTTTGAGCCATTGGATTATGACTAATTGCGTATTCCACTGGAAATGTTACAATCTTCTGTACTATTGTGACTGTGATGAGCAAAAGTTCTTGTCTAAGGCTTCAGAACACAGGCTCTGGAGTTTAACTGCCATCTGCCTGGGGATGGTTATTTGCCCCCTCTGTGTCTCAGTTTCCTCATCTACACAATAATAACAGTACCTACTGCAGGCCTGTCATGGTGGTTCACGCCTGTAATCCCTGCACTTTGGGAGGCCGAGGCAGATGGATCGCCTGAGGAGTTCGAAACCAGCCTGGCCAACAAGGTGAAAACCCGTCTCTACTAAAAATACAGATTATCCGGGCATGGTGGTGGATGCCTATAATCCCAGCTACTTGGGAGGCTGAGGCAGGAGAATCACTCGAACCCAGGGGGCAGAGGTTACAGCGAACTGAGATCATGTCACTGAACTCCTGCCTGGGAGATAAGAGCAAGACTCCATCTCAAATAAATAAATAAACAGTACCTACTGCACAGAGTTATTATGAGGATTAAATTAGACGATAGTTTTACGGCCCTTAGTATATCTCTTAATACATTTTGTACTGCTATAACAGAACATCTAATACTGGATAGTTTATAAAGAATGGAGATTTACTTCCTATAGTTTTGGAGGCTGGGAATTCCGAGGTCAAGGGGCCTGCATCTGGCGAGGGCTTCTTGCTGCATCATCCCATAATGGAAGGTGGAAAGGTGAGCGAGAGAGAAAAAAAGAGAGAGAGAGAGAGGTGGCAGGTTGAAGGGGAGAGAGAAGCGGCCAGAACTCATCCTTTTATCAGAAACCCACTCTCAGTAACTAACCGACTCCCACAATAATAACACTAATCCATTCATAAGGGCAAATCCCTCATGCCCTAATTACCTATTCAAGATTTCATCTTTCAGTACTATTGCATTAGGGGTTAACTTTCCAACACGTGAACTTTGGGGGACACATTCAAACCGTAACAGCATAGTACTTGGTACATAGTAATTGCTTAACAAACGTTAGCTAAT